CCGAGCGAACGCGCGAGAGGGAAGCTGGATCCCCGAACGTCGGTCCCCGGGTGACAGGGATCATCAAGAACAAGATCGTTGTTCGCATTGCGGGTCCAAGAAACACATGGATCTCGACTGTTGGAGACGTCTGACTTACTATAAGTGTAGAAATAGAGATCACCCAAAGAATCGCTGTCTATACGCGTGTCGTGGATGCGGAGATGTCCATGAGGCTGGAGAGTGCCCCATGGAAGAATTCTACAACCGGATACGCAAATGGTATGATCCGATTCGACATGCCGGGCTGTTCCCCGAACAAGTGGAGAAGATGTTAAACTAGGAAGCTCGTCGGGTTGTAATCCGGTACGAACCGAGCTTTCTAAGTACTGCATCTACGCTTACGTGTACAAGGCGACGACAGATCGAGGTAGGAAGGAGTCGGATCTACGCGGTAATACATGTAACTTGAATATCGCCAAGATCGCGAGCCTCTCTCGGATCTACGCGATAATATATGTATATTGAATACGTACACTGCCAAGATCGCGAGCTTCCCTTGGATCGGCGAATTTAGCCGATCTGACACAGAAGTGGCCTTAGATCCCAAAAGAGGAGAGTCCCGGGGTTATTTGGAAACGTTATGCACCGGAAAATGGTACCGACAAGCTAGATCTCTGGCAGGATCAACCAAGAGAAAGCGATCTTGCTCCTAGACACTGGCGCTGAGGTATCAATCTTGGATACCACCTTTGCTCGTAAGATGGATGCCACTTTGACACTAGTCAGAGACAGGAATGCGTTGGAATCGATGACAACGTATACACCACAGAAGAGAGAACCAGGACCAAGATCACGTTAGCGATGTATTTTTTCGACATCTGGATTGGAGATTTATCGGGTCAGAACGCGATCCTAGGCATGGATTTCGTGGTCCCAGTCGGGGTGTGGATGGACCTCGCCGACGGATCGATGTGCCTGCCTGACGAGGTTGGAATCCCGCTTAATGGTCGTAAGAGATTATATGGCGAACAGGTGAGATCAGTAACCCTGGAAAGAAATCTACGAATCCCGGTTGGACAGTCTGAAGAAACAGCAGTGCGAATAAAATTATCGGCTACAGAGAAACTGTAGTGACCAAAGGAGAACGATGGGTACCGACAGTAGCCGAAGGCCCACGTCGGATCCGCTACCTGGTGATCTCGAATATTGGAGAAACGATACTACGACTAGACCATCTTCTAGACGTCGGAATGATACTGGATCAGGACAAAGTACCCTGATCCCCTGGGTTTGTGTCCGTCGGGTCTCGTCGCCACAGGAAGTGGCAAAATCTGGCAAAGCAATCGACGGTAGATACTCGATCAGAGCTTCCAGAAGCTACGAAGGGACCTGAAGAGCCGGTAGTACAGCGACATACGTATCCCATACTTTGCCGGGCTGAAACCGCCGACATCAACCGAGATCGCGCATTGATATCAACCCTAAAGACTCGATCGCGAAAGCAAACGACCAACGCAGTCCAGATCGAGGCAAGGTCTCCCAATCCGGAAAGGGGTCATGCGCCTACACCACTGACAGTCCCCCAAGCCGATCGATCCCGGAGCGGCGATGGTGGGGGCGGTGGGATATGTGAGAGCATGCCGGACCAGGCTCCCGATCGGACTTGCGCGGAAAATCCGAATTGTCAAACCGGAATCAAGCTCGAATCCGGCGAGGACTACGCCTCAAAACACTCGAATCCACCCATCGATATTCCAAGATCTTGCTAGGTCTCTTGATCTCTGAAGTAACCTCGGGAGCGGTGGGTTTAAACCATAGATCTGGATCTTGCAGTCTCCAATAACTTCTTGACTCATCTGGTTGGAGATCAACGCTCATGGTGACTTCAGATCTGGCATACTCGTCGACTTGGCAAAGACTTGAAATTGCGAAGGCACGTTTTCCATGCAGGTCACATATATTACCGTGTAGATCTGGTCATTTACTAACCTGATCTACCGATGTCTTGTTCACAAATGCATAGATGCAGTATCTAGAACGCTCGGCTCGTATTGGATTCCACACCGACGAGCGTCCTAGTTTAACATCTTCTCAGCAGCTTTGGGTAACATACTCATGTGCTTCGTGGGGTTAAACCACTGGCAGATCTGGTTGTAAATCTCTTCCATCGGACGGTTTCACCCCAGATCCGATCTCTTGCCGTGTTGACGCGAAGGTGAGTGGCTCGGCGTACTCGTCCCAATCTCGTTGATCCAGGTCCTGCACATACATTTTAAGAGCTCTGGTAGTGGTCTGGTCCATCCGCTCTGCGGATCCATTAGCTTGGTGTCGATAAGCCATAGCAGCACGTTGGCGTTGACCCAAAATCTTGTTGAAAGACTTGAAGAAGTCAAACATGAAGCCTGGCTAGCGATCATGCCGGATCACCTCGCTCGCACCAAATCTGCGGAAGGCACATTCCTCGTAGGTCTCAGCGATTATCTGGGCGGAGCTAGAGGAGCTGGCTTTGGCGATCACATATCCCGAGAATAGATCCACGAAGATCTGCAATTCGGTGTTGCCGTTGAAGGATCTAGGCAATGAAGGTGGCAATGATCTGGAATGGGTATGTCGCCTGAAGGTTACCAGATGACTCACCCTGGATCCGGGGTCGTCCTTTTCCTGTTTCACAGTCGACACATTCCCCCACATATCGCTGTACACTCTTGTACAGCCCTCTCCAGTGGAAATGATCACGGATCCGATCGTAGGTGCGACCGATCCCTTGATGGCCACCTTGTAAACTGATGCAAAATGTCCTGTTAAGCGTCTCAGGTATCACCAGTCGCATTAACTTATCTTGATCTGCAGCTGCTTCTTTAGTTGTCGGGCAGTAGAAGAGTAGATCCGACTGATCCATTTCATAGTTCATAGCAATAGATCCAAACATCTTAGCATCCTCTTGGGTCCAATCCCGGATCTCCCCAACCAAATACTTTTTCAAGCCCAGGATCAACGACTCCTCATCTTGTGCTTGGCGGATCCGCTCGATCCGTAGCTCTCTCACAACTTCCTCACGCAGTGAATCTGGATCCGACCCAATGCGCACTCCAGATCTAGCCTTAGTTCGGGTCGTTACGGCAGATATCTGTGCGATCTCGTCTTCGATCTTCACTACCAGGATCGCATCCAACCGGTTCAAGGTCACTAGATCCTGGATCTCCTTTTCAGACTCGATCTTGATCCCACATTGTCGTTGTAGCGCGGCACTTACCAAGCTATCGGCCCTTTCATTTTAATCTCGTTTAATATGGAACACCTAGTCGTCTGGCCAAGTTCGTAATCGATCCAGAGCTCTCAGGCGTAGCAATGTCAAACCCGGTGCTTTACAATCGATCCCGCCTCGTACTCGCCGGATCACCAGGTTCGAGTCTCCGCAGATCACTAGACATCGTGCTCCAGATCTTTCAACAGATCCAAACACAACAGTAACCCATGATATTCTGCCTCATTCACTGTCAGACCTTCAGCGTACCCAGATCTAGCCTTCAACACCCTCCACTCAGGCAGCTTCCACAAGATCGCGTGGTGGCGCCTCCACCTCTCTTGACACGGGCAGATCCATCGAAACTAACGACGTATAGATCCTCATCGCGTCTAATAGTAGGGATCGGAGCTTGGATCTTGCGTGTTGGCTCCTTTTTAGGGGCAATCGAGATCAATGCCTTATCCACTAAAGATCTAGGGGTAATACTGGCCACCAAATGCTCCTAAGATCTCGTCCTCTCCTTTGACACACTTGGTGATCTCAAGAGTCCAGGGCGACAACAGAGCGGTCCACTGTCCCAGACGTCCTTGCACGGCTGTGGACCTGAAGAGCCACGCCAAAGTAGAGTGTCGGGTCAACACATGGATTGGGCGCCGAATCAAGGCCTTGTAGTTAAGATCCAGGGTCGTCAGCAAGGCCAGCACCCCCTTCTCTGCGATGCCATAATTCAACTCATTTGACTTCAAAGTACGGCTCGCAAATATCACGGGGTAGTAGGTCTTGCCATACTCCTGCATCAACGATCCTGAGATGGCCCAGTCACTAGCATACACCACAACCGTGGCTCTTCGATCTGGATCAAAGTGCAGCAGGATCTGAGTGGTGGCGATCTTAGATTTGAGCACATTGACAGATCGATAGGGATGGATCCAACGGGGGATCCACTTCAGTGAGATCTTGTGCCTCCAGATCTAGAGTCTTTTGGGGGTCGATCGCTTGATCTCCCTGTGATCCTGGATCTACAATCTCCGCCTCTAGCACTTGTCGGATCCGTACTTGGCTGGTGTCCTTCATCATCGCGGCGAAATCGATTTCTCGCAACTCATACAAAACTGACGCACAGATCGCGTAGTCTTCGATAAAGCAGCTGTAGTAGTTCAGACTCCCAAAATTGACTGCATGGCTCTAAGTGATCCTGGAAATGCTAGATCAGTCAATGCCGACCGATTCACCTCCAGTCCATTGTGGGAGACTTTATGGCCGCGATATTCCACCTTAGGCATTCCCCAGAAACTCTTAACCACGCAGATGGACAGATTCCACTTATCGCACGCTTCGAGTAATCCCTCAACTCGATCTCATAGTTGATCCCAGTTATCGGCTGGTATCAGGATGTCGTCGATGTAGGATCTGCGCCCAAGCACCGATGGCTTGCCTGGATCCACCGGTTCCCCGTCCTCAAACACATCCAAAGTACCTCCGTGATCTTCAGACTTCAAGATCCGAGTGAATCCATATAGCGCGTTGTCGATCATACGTTGATAGATCTTGGGCGCATTCTTCAAGCCAAATGGCATCCGATTCAACTCCAATAACCCAAAGGTGGTAATAAAAGCCGAGATCAATCGAGCACGATCCGTCATTTTCACTGCCCAAAATCCACTCGCCATATCCAAAGAAGAGTATAAGAGTGTCGACCCCAGGTCTTCGAGTAAGTCATT